ATCAATTGCAATGGTCCCGCCCGCAGATTCGACGAATTTCGCATTGGAAATCCGCGTGCGGCAAGCAGACGTCGACACGTGTGTCGTTACATTATCGCTGTTTTTAATAACAATGCTGATCAAACAGTTTGTTACACGTTAATATTTTCGCGCATATAAATACATATTATATATATATATATCAAAAAAAATTATGAAATTGTGTAAAAAAAAGTTAGACTGGGATGTCTCGTAAAAAATATCCTTTTATAGAAAGATTTCTCTTTTTTTTTCCTTCTTACCGATATCAAATTTATTAATATCTCGAATTTGATTATGTACTTCAGAAAATCAGATATCTTGAAATATCACATCGGAAATTCTATAGGAAATATTTTTATAGAAAAAAATAAGTCCTTGCTTAAAAATAATCTTTTTCCCATAATTTCGCCAGGCTAGAAAAACTTGTTACATTAAAAAGTTTAACAAAATAAAAGTTTTACCAAATTGCAGAAAAAGCAAATAATTCCTCGTGATAAAAAAAACTTATTGATTTGTCCCGCGAAAAGCAAATCGAATCTTTCAATATGCAAATAAATTGACGAAAGTAACACATCAATCGCCCTATGCCAACATGGACATTCTTCTGGTGCCACGTATATCTGAAACGTGTTGGCAATGTAAAGATAAGACTGCCAGTCAGACGCTTACCATTTTTATTATCACGATTATCGAACATCCAAAATACCGGCGTATGCCACATGAAATTAAACTATTTGATTTCAATGTCCAAAAGTCTCTACACTTTGACATTTGTATATTAGAGCAAAAAAATTATTTAAAAATTTCTTATTAAATTAATTAATAAGTAATACAACATAAAAATTTATATATGATAAGATGAGATTCTATAGGTAGATAAGTAGATAAATGTAGGTATTTCGAGTGCAAAATTTTCTCCCGAGTATGAAGATATTAGCAATTGATGAAATTCAATAGTATGTAAAAATGATATGGCGGTGGTATATTTTATCTGTAGATTTCTTTTATCTCAATTTTTCAACGCTCGCACATTCACGCGTTTCTATTTTCACGCCTCACGTTTCGTAATATATATATCACCCGATACAGCCCTCCCGTACAGTTTGCCTCGTAATCTCTTATGACATATTTTTAAGCATTCACACACACTCCGAGCTAAAAATGTGATGACAAATAGAAAATAAATTAAAATATTGTTTTTGACTTTGTCTGTTACTGGAAGTGTTCTAATTTGAAATAGCCTTTGTTTTAAACATTATAGAGTAGATTTACATCAGCGATTTTTTAATATTTATGCGATTACAAACATTGAAAAACATTTTTGACAATAATTAGGTCCGATGCAAATAGACAATCGTACTTTCTCCTTCCTCGAATTTAATATGGAGTTTATGTTAAGAAATCTTTAAGGATTAATTATCACAAGATATTTAATGTTAAAAATTATAATGTTATTGGAGAAAATAATATTTAATTTGAAATTTTTATAAAGAAAAGACGTAGAAAGAAATTTACATCGTGTATATGATACAATCTATTTATACATAATATCCCGTATATTTCAACACCGCTTCTCGAATTTCAACGAAACTGCTCAAGCACGAAGCAACATACTAATAAAATAAGAAATTTTCGCGCGCGCATGTGTACGCGACAAATTAATAATTATGTAATCGTTATCAGAAACAGTCTCGCAGGGGGGAGGAGCTAATAGCTATCGGAAAGTTTGGAGAAAGACGATAAGAAGTTATTTGATAATCAAGACGAAATACATGGCCGCGTATAAAATTCATAAAGCTTTACTCTTGTCGATAGCGTAATTAATATTCCTGCATACGATCCAGCTTTAACGACATAAAATACTTGAACATAAATATTTTGTATAACAAGCATCGCGCAAAATTAATCAATTTTATGTTTGTCAATTCAAGTATAAAGTTTATACAACTCAAATTCAAAATTTACATGTTATTCGTTAAACATTAAAAGCAATGAATACTGTATTTTTCGAAAATGTTTGAAAGAA